GTCGATGTTGAACACCGATGTCATGCTGTCGATGATGATGATGATGTTCGGAAAACCTGCACTGAGCCAAACTGCATTTCCACATAAAACCCGCTCCGAATTTATAGTTTTACAACCAAAGGGTAACTTTTGATATCACCAGAAATGCATGATACCAGATCTGCATCTGGAGTATGAAATTACCTTGGAGAGAATGGTCGGGCTTATCTCACCTACCCTAAGTTTCATCGTTTCACGCACTTAAAGTTCTAAAGTAACCGTGTACTGTGTCATTTAGCCCATGTTTACCCACGGTACGTCCCCCAGGACCCCACCGATCTCCCCCCGCCACATCATGTTCTTCACTGGCGAGTGTTCATCATTTCTCACTATCCAGTTTGAATTTGACCCTGCTGAGTTTCCTGTGATTTCTGAGTCCATTCCAGCGTAATTATTTGGGCAGAACACGAAGAAACTGCATGAATTTGCGTGATACCCTCAGAATTTTCTCATTATTCTTTCATTATTCTTTCTTTCTCATTATTCTTTCTTCAGCAGTCACGGATGGACGATCCATCACGAACGTACCCATTGCTTTGAGGGTTTAGACTTTTAGGGAGAACAACGTGCAAACAAGATTGTGTCAGAGACCTTCAAATTACTTGAATCTCTTTAAACGAGTCAAATCCTTACCGATTCTTAAATGGCCTTTGTGTCTAAAGGCTGTTTACCAGAATGGAAGACCAAAGTTGGCTGCACCAACAGTGAGTATAGCTCATAGATACTTCACTTTTTGATTGGATAAATTTGTTGCCCCATACTGATTCTATCTTTACAACCGAATGTTGAGCGCGAATTGCTCGCAGCTGATCAGCTTCATTTAGAACAGGGTTTGCTAGGCTCCGCTTGGATCGGACCGTGTGTCGGCGATCCACTGATCTGTATCGGCTTCTTTGACCATACGAAAGTTACTAATTTAGGTTCATTAATCATCCGACCAACCTCTGGCGAATAAAAGCCTTTTTGGGAAGACAGTATGCAAGTGCATTTCTTTGAAGCTACTCGCCACTATCCTCTAAACTTTGTGAGATACCTGCTTCCTTGTTTGGCACAAAGTGGCAGCAAGCACACTTGCAAAGTGAACAAGCTTGCTTTGTCAGGCGGTTTTCTCAAATGCGTTCTTCTTCTTGAAGAGCGTAGAATAAGAGGGTTTGTTGTGAGTACGTCCGCCATAGTACAAACTCCGCCATAGTACAACCTCCGTTCACCGACGTTCGCTGTGATTGTGGCCTTGAGGAACTTGGGCTTTTAGATGTTACAGGCAAGCGGATTTCTGACCGTTGGTTGTTGTCTTTTAAGCTGTGGCGTGATTGCGTTTCAACGTTTTGTTTACAAAAACAAGGCAAATCCCATCTACAATTCCAAATGCTTTCCCGTGTGACCACTACTGGCAAAATTGTGAGAAGTAAACAGCCTAAATAACTTTGTGATTTTACCAAATAACGCTGGGCCAATCGCTCAAGAAAATGGGTTTTCACAATCTCTGTGAACCAACTTACTTGCCGAGGTAATGTATTTCCCAGGATAGTTGTTTGTGACCTCGTTTAGAGTACAACCGGTGAAAGGTTCTCAGTGTTCTTAAAACGATGGAAGCGTGTGATTTTAAAGGCCCACAAGCACCTTAAAGGGCGCAGTTTCATTTCTGCAACTTTTCCTATATCTGAAAGTGCAGTTTGGCTTGAAAGCCACAGTGGACAGAAATGGTAACGAGAGTACTCGCCACCTCTTTAGTGTATTCGCATTTCATATGCGATACTGCTTTGAGCACTATAAGATGTGATGGCTTAAATCGCTAAACGAGGGCCTGCACCGTTGCTTGGCTACTGAGATTGACTGACCAAAACAACTTTCTTTGCTTTGTTCGTTTATCTTGTTCTATTTTTGAGTTTCACTAGGCAAAAGAATATGTTGAAGGTGCGTTGTCGGAATTCCAGTTCAGATTAACTCTTTGTATGGACAAGGGAAAATACTTTATGTTCAGGCGAAATGATGCACATATGCGATCCTTCAGAAAAGAAAGCACTTGGGTGAGGGGTCGCGCATGGTCCTTCTCGCGTTTCCCTCGCGCACGTGTTTTGCAAAACGAAATCAGTCATGTGCTTAGCGGTCTCTGTGTGAACGAGCTGGGATCACACAATTTGGCGCTGAGATTCACCAACTGGTATACGCTTTGATTTGGTTATGTCACACCCATTTCAACCTCACAGCTACTTGGGCTGGCTAAGTCACTTTTCATGTTTCCCTAATTAGGTTCCCAAAAGGAAGGTGAACACAGCGCCATTGCAAAACTTCGCCTTCACTCCACACTAAGCGGGCAAAACGTATGCGTTGTTTGTCCATGACAAGAACTTTCATAGATTTCATGGTCGCAGATTTATTTTGCAGTCTTGTCTGACTTTCTGCTGTAACGGTGACACTACTGACGGGGAAACGTGCAAGTAGTATGTGTTGTTCTTGGAATTTCGCTTTACGTCTCTTGACAAGGGGAGATCTGTTGCAGGATTTGTGGAGTCGCTTTGTAATATGTGCTTGGATTGGAGCAATGAATGGTTGGAGTCAATGAATATCCAGGAAGGTCCAAGAAGTCACGTTCAGGAGAAGATCGATGTGCAATTTTTGTAAATGAGATGCAAATGAGTGTTTTACTTCCCTATCCAAAAGTCTGTAACCGGTCAATTGGCATGTTCCAATAAAGTACTCCACAGTAAAGACCTCTTTTTCACTGGTTGTACTGTTTCTCCTGATCCAAAAATATCAATGGACACGGATTCGTAACTTGTGCAGCAATCGGACCATATCATCTAACAGCGAGGAACTAGAAGCAAGTGAGTGCATCGCTTGAAATATCGTATTTTCGAATAGCAGACCCTTCCATGAGTATGGGGGTCGAATAAACATTCTGGCAGTTTAAGATATACGCGGGATTTCATCTAATCCTATCAACCTTGCAGACAGAGGAAATCTATTTAACAAAGACAAGAAAATACTGGTCTACATGCCCTTTTTTCTCTATGAATCAATTATAAAACTAATTTGTCAACAGTGCAATAAATTTCCCCATATTTTAATTTTTCAAAGAAATAGTCCTTCGAGATTACTTACTTTTTACATTTTTTATCTTCTTGAATGACTCTTCCCGAAAAACCATTGTTCACTTTTGACCTTTCGCCCCACTTCTAACCATTTATCTTGCTTCGGGACTAATTTCTACAACCTAACTTAATCAGTTACAGGGGTAATTCAGTGTAAACGCATACAGCAACGGGTTTAGAAGTTGGGCGCTTCGTTTTCAATATTAAAACGTTTTTCTTTGAACTCAAAAACCCTGTAAACTATCCGACAGTGGCTCAAGCAACAACATAGTTGGCACTAGTGCAGATGGACGGCGTTCTGGAGAAGTTTTGTGAGTAACAGTTGTGTGAATATCAGTGATTTTGTTTAGCAACCAGTACTTCAAGATTCAGAAGGTTGGTCACGAATCCGAGTTCAAACGACAGATAAGATATCAGCGCATACGAGCAAGCACAATCCGTGCATTTTACTGGTAAGTCATCTTAAATAAGTTGATGTTGCGATCGATAATTTCTGTTAGACCTAATGATCCGACAGTCAATCTAGGTAAGTGCCTCATCTTTTTTATTAATAGAAATGGGTAGTTTTTCGTCCAATCCAGCTATGAGTTGACGACATGTCGACACTGCCAGTGTACCCCAAGATCCATTTACAGCACATTCCATTGAGGGTTTAGGATCCCAAGCGTTTTTCGTGTCACTTGTTATAGAACGGGTCGCA